AATAATAAGATAAGATTATTATAAGATAATTATAAGATTATTATAAGATTTTTATGAGTATTATAAGATTATTATAAAATATAATTTTGATAATTTTATTATAATCTTTATGATTATAATAATTCAATAAAAAAAAATTAGCTAGTTTCTGTAAAGTAAGTTTTTGATATCGGCCGAAGTCGGTAACTTATCGATTCGCAGTCAAAAAATTTTCTAGATGTCCTAGAATTTATGAAAACAGCTGTAATTATAACGGGCCGGGCCGGCAAAAATTTTAAAATTAAAAGCAGGCCGGGTCAAATCACAAAAATAGGTAATTTGCAAACCTCTAGCGCTAGAACACGCTAATGGTATATATGGTTTTGCCTTAGAAATTATGTCCCATAAAGTTATTTTCAAAACAAAAAACTTCACATCATGTTGGATATTTTTATCTTAAAACTTACAAAAAACCAATTTATAAAAACAAAGATTAGATAACTAATTAATAAGTATATTTGATGGTCAAATAATCTAAAATATTATATAACAATTGACAATAAATGACAATCCAGATAGTAATATAAAAAAAGTATATATATACATTAACTTTGGTTTCTTATTTTCTATTTCAAAAAATTAAATATATAAGAAAAGGTAAATTTGTGGTTAGATCTATATCTAAGCGCTAACCGATCTTTTGAACCAAAGGAGTATTATGAAGAATTTTTAAAGTAATTTTTTTTTATGTAGCATGTTCGAAATTTAATAATTTACATTTTAACTACTTATTTCTTCATGCTAAAATTAAAAGCATATTGTGATATTAGCCATAAAAATTCAATATTAAGGTGCTATGGAATATCAAAACATTCTTTTTTTCTTAACAATTATATTCTTGTTATACAATATGCATCCATGGGCTCTCTGCATAGTATCTTTTCTCTGTAGCACAAATGAAATGGAAAAATAAATTAAAATTATTGCATTGTATTGCTTCTGATCTTCAGACAATTCATTCTCAAGAACTCATTCACCGAGATTTACATAGCGGCAATATCTTACTAGAAAGTTTATATGTGCATATATCACTGATTTAGGCTTTCAGATCAAAAAATAACACCATCCGTATCGGATAAGGATTTGGTCACATGGTAATCCGGATAATCTGGATTTGAACAGATCGCATCTCTAAGCAGAAAATAAACATAAATTAGCCAATCGTATGAATTTCTTACCATAATAACCGGGTCAACCGGGTCAACCGGGTTACTCGAGTCATCTAGAGTAACTCGGTTTGTGACCCGCTTAATAATTTTGTAAACGGGTGGGTGTTAAACCGGAGCTTAAACTTTATGCGGGTCCAATCTCTATTCGTCATCTTCCATTTCATAATCTTCGTCTTCATTCATGACTACGGATGTCAATTTTTCACGTGCGAAAGATGGCTCTACGAGGATATGAGGAGACATCTCGAAAGAAAATGCCAAGTCGCGAGCAGTTATGGTTCTCTTTTCTTGGCTCGTTGTGGCGGCTCGACTTCTATAGTCTGCATTTCGCATTCCAGATGAGTTGATTCCTAATGAATTACCGGATCGAGTCTTTTGCAAAACATTGCCAATAATATTCTTAAGATGTGACTATTAGAGTAAATTATACAATGTTAGCAATCAAGCTATACTATATAAGAATTTTAAAAATAAATAAATAAAAATGAAACAAACCTCCAATCCATAATTAAGCAAGCTTGCACAATCTTCCGAAATATTTTGCAAGCCATTCGCTCGTGCTATCTCTAAAATCCTGCCATATAAAGTATTAGAATCGGGTAATGCTTTCATTTCTCGACAAGTCTGAACACGTTCTGGATTGACTATGATTGTATATTGCTATAAGCTTAATGTTTGTAACGAATGGAACTATCTTAAGCACTTGAAATCCAATCTTACGTTGTGGCTTAATAACATTTTGTTGATCATTGTAATCAAATAATGGTAACTGCTCTGACCTTGGTACCGGTAAGACGGTAGTCATAGGGTCTGGCATCGTTGTAACTCCATTTAAGTCCTATAATATAGAATTGCATAACATTTTGCGTTCGTAGATAATAATACAGATTGTGTAAATAAAATTATTAAAATAATCAGAAACCTATTTTAAATATATCGCCGAGTGAAATTACTATCAACCTTTCTTAAACTTTTAATTCTCTCTCGTTCTTCTCGAGGTAACGACATCACAAGCTCCTTAATTCGTCGTTTCTTAGGATCAGGTAACCCATCACTCAGTTCATGCAATTCATCGTCACGATTGCGCTTCTTTGGTTGAGTGACCGGATGGTTTTGTGGTGGTGGTGGGTCGTTGCACAAACAATTATTAAGTATTCCTAACAACAGCATATTGTGCAACTCGACTTTACGGTAATAATTTTATAAGTAAAATGAATTCTTGCTCATTAACAGGCATTCAAATTATACGAAAAGAACTTAACATAC